ACTTTATTTCCCAGGTATACCTTTACGAAGATATTGTTGTAGAACCATATGAACTTCATTTTATTACTGAGGCTAAACTTTCTCCATATCCACTATAGTTGTTGTACAGGAGATACAGTGGAAATTTCTTTGTGAATCTGCTGGGTAAATGGAAAGAGTCTGAGTATTCTGGTCAATCCATCCCTGTAGGTGGTATAGCTTACTATATTACAGCACCATCAAGGTGATCGTCTCTCTCCCATCCTCCTTCCCTCCCTTCCTTATCAGACACAAATCCTCTTCCTTTTCTACTTTTCATTTACTTGTATTTCTTATGATCTTTGTTTTGGATCATATTATGCAGCTTGGCAGATATGGCAGCAAATCCATTCCATGCACTTTTCTATATAATCTTTATGCTTTCAGCCTGTGCACTTTTTTCCAAAACTTGGATAGAAGTCTCTGGATCATCCGCAAGAGATGTGGCCAAGCAACTTAAGGTATACATTAGATGATATCTCGATGTATTCAGTTTTCAGCTTGGCATCCAGTGGAAATAATGGTGGAACTTTCAAGATAGCACCTTGATTGCCTTATTTGACCATATAGGTTTAAAAATATCTTCTTGTTAAAAGTTATTCTTTTGAAAATATATTTTCTTTGTAATTGATTATATATTTTTTAATCTTTTACTTGAACCACATTACACCTGCATGCCACATATGTACCAGCTGCGTATGGTGATTGCTTTTTAATTTCACTCTTTCTGATAGCCGAAAGATAGTTTACGATACTTGCATAATTAAGGCACAATTTTTTGTTCTGTGAAAGGTAAGTTATAATTATTAGGCCTATAGAACATCAATGATGCTTATCCTTATTTGTGAAATGAGAACTTTAATTGCCCACAAAAGCTTTTGATTTGGATGCTAGCATCATGTTGTGGCAAAGAAACCATGTAAATGAGAATTCGAAAATTGAAGCTGCCTAGACTTAAATATTATTAATTGCTATACTATACTTCTGAGTACTAACATTGGTTTCTGAATTTGGTGTTTTACAGGAACAACAAATGGTTATGCCGGGTCATCGGGAGTCAAATTTACAGAAGGAATTGAACAGGTACATTCCAACTGCGGCAGCCTTTGGTGGCATGTGCATTGGTGCATTGACGGTTCTAGCGGATTTCATGGGTGCAATTGGTTCCGGAACCGGGATACTGCTTGCTGTGACCATCATATATCAATACTTCGAGACATTTGAGAAGGAGAGAGCCAGCGAGCTTGGCTTCTTTGGTCTATGATCCTAAAGCTTCTTCATCATTAAGCTTTTTGGTGGCTCTTAGAACGTTTTATCACAGTTTTGGTCAAAACTGAAATGGATGTTTGTCGGTCTTAGTCGATAGTTGGTGCTCCTTAAGCGTAAGCTGCTAGCAAATCTTACCTTTGTTCAAGGTGGACACATCCGGTTTGTTCTGGTATGTCAGACCTCCGCAACGGTCGGGTCAACCCTTAAAACCTTAATGATGTCAATGACCCTTTTCCACTTTCTATTGTCATGTGTTAACTCATCTGCCTAATTGCAAAAGCGTGGCCTATGTCCTGATGAAAGATCTTTTCTGTTCGTTTTCCCTCATCAGCAACTTGCGTCTCCTTTCTGACTACAGCAGCTTATTTCATACATGTATGATGCTTGTCATGATAAATTTGATGTCTTAGAACAAATAAGAAATAAAATCATCATATATCGATTTACATGCAAAATCTTTTTATTTTTGTTGTCTGACATAAAAGTTAATGCATTTTTTTTTTGTCCCTTTGCGATATCAATTAGCTGTCTTGTGGAAATAATGCTGACGATCTCATTTTGTGACCATGTCAAATGTCTCTATTCTCTTTATTTTCTTCCTTTTTTTGTCAGTATTGGTAGATAATGACTTTACTTGTTCCATTAGTCATCAAGATCATAGCAGCCATGCTTGGAAAGAGGGTGTCCACCTCTCGAGGTTTGGAGTCATGCAGACCAGCAGCTGCAAATATCTTCGTACATTCTAAATGGCCAAAAATATCTGCATGCCTTGCTCGACCTTCTCATTGACTGCTGTGCATCGGTAGAAATGTCACACCAAATGCAGTTCTTGCTTACATTGTCGCCACCCATGGGGATTAGTTGTTGACTTCGGCTTCAACGACTCTGCGGAAGCTTCCTAGATTTTGACTTGTCTCCGGTAACTTTCTCTTTCCCAGAAACTTACGTGGTCTTCAAGCTATACACATCCAGAAGTGCTGCGAGTGATGCCAAAGAATACACATGTCGTTCTCCCGGTGGGCTGACGCTGTGGTTTGACTGGCTTCGTTCCCGCCGCAGCGCTATAAATGATGGATGATAGGGTAGTGTTCGTCTCGTAAACTCGTTGTAGCTCGAGATGGCAGCAACAAGAACATTTCTCGCCGCCGCTTCCTTCGTCCTCCTCATGGCCCTCATGAGCACGGCAACCATGGCCGCGGACGGCCCTGCGCCGCCACCGACTACCAGCGGCGGGGGTGAGAACTTCTCGGTCCGTGAGATTCATTCGATTGCTTTGGCCTTCTTCGTGTCATTGGCCACTGTGTTCTCCCTCGCCTACTAGGAAGAAGACGACAGCGGGCTTCGCTGTTGGCTTCTGTCCATTCTTCCTCCGTGTCGGTTTGCCTTGGTATTCTCTGGTAGGGAGGAGACGACAGCTTCACTGTTGTCTTCTGTTGATTCATCTCTGGTGGGTACTTAGTATCGTCAGGTGCTTCGATTAGCTCATTGTGATTCGTCTATTTGTACTGGTCATGAGGATTGTATCTCCGGTTTTATTATTTTTATATGCTCTCCTTTTATAAATTTGTTCTGTGGTTCTCCTGACTTATTTTATTATAATATATGTATATATATATATATATATATATTTCAAATGGTATTATTAATTTAAGAAATATCTAAAATTTATTATAGTATTTTGGCCACCATAATACTGTAAAATCTCTATAAATGAATCTAAATAGATTTCTAATCTCAATCAAACCAATTTTATAAACCTAAAAATATGATATTATAATGATTTACGAGTAACTATAATTAAAGAAGCATAATATGATGTCACTTATGATATTTTTTTTGATAATTTTATAATAATTTTAGTACCTTAATAAAGGTACTATAATGTTATTAAAAAAATAATGTAAATGAGCCAAACCAAAGTGTGCAAAATATTCAAAATGGGTGAAAAGATAGGTAGGTGGAAAGGGTATATTATTATTTATTATGGTGTTGGTGTAGTATCTCAATATAATTTTATATTTTCGGTTGAAGATTTTGATTTAAACCTATCAAATATAGGAGTGGATTATCTCATGAGATTTAACTGTGATAGCAAGTATTTCATCGAAGCAATCCCAACATGACAAAGAAATAAAGAAACATAGGAAGAGTTGGTCTATCAATCCACAGTTAATCCTAAATGTAAATGAATGTGATGCTAATAATACAACAGAAGCATAATAAGTTGAAGATTCTAAGCGAACGACTCGTTTTACTGATCATGGAGATTCTCCCAAGATCCACACTTCTCATCAGGTTGTTGCACTCCACCTATTGGATGATAGGATTTGCCTTTCACCTTTATCGTTCATCTCTTTGATTGATACAGAATTAACCATCCAATCAATCATGCATAATATAAAAGAGAGAGAGAGAGAGAGAGAGAGAGAGAGAGAGAGAGAGAGAGAGAGAGAGAGAGAGATGCAATCTTTTTCTCTTGTGCATGCAATCATGCATAATATATTAACCATCTTCTTCCTCTTCTTCTTGCCCCTTTCTTTACGAGCAGCAGCTGCTTCAGTGAACCGCCCCCTTATGATTCCTGCGCGAATGCCTGACAATGATTGCATGCAGATGCCGTCATCGCTTGTTTGGTTTCACTCCTCAATCATTCTGAAGCATCCGCCGCCGCCATGCCAGTTCATGGAGCAGCGCAAGGTATCCAGCAATCGCCGCACACAAGGTTCTTTCTCCTCAGTTCTTGCTTCCATCTCTAATGGTGGACTCAGTAATATGCCATATGTAACTTCGAGACTGTAGGAGTGACTGTCAAGCACAGAGCTCAAGTGTCCTTCGTATTCTTGGCTGTGGACCTCTATAGCAGACATGGGAGCTCACAATCTATCCTCATGTGAGTGGGACATGAAATCATAGCCTGCTGAACCCACCACTGTCTTTGTTCTCTCGGTGCCCGACACCCCATTGTGCATGAAATATGCCATCACTGTCACTCGACTGTGAGTTCCATTCGAGTGCTACAGAAGCGCACATTAGCACGCAGGAAAGCATGTGCAGATAATGGTTTCTGAGATTGTTTTTTGTCTCAAGTTTCTTGTACCACATTTGAGTGAGTCCATCACATGATTGGGACAGCGCTACTGGATTTGGTGGAGGTCATTAGTGTAGGATGAAAGGAAAAGTAGCTTGAGATGCAGTGATTTGATGACTCCAAGGATCAAACTCTTACTTCCCACCTTCCACATGAATCACATCATGAAGCTTGGATGTCTTTTCTTCACCTGTTTTGTTGGTAAGTTGCAATCTGAAAGGACCACAGCATATGCTTGTTGATGATTGTTATAGAACAAAGAACAGTTGGGCCTCGGAATGCAGGACAGAGAAGGTAGGGTCACCATACAGCATGCTCACATGGCAATGCACATGAAGGTTGTTCTCTTTGATGAGGCTAAAGCAGCCACATACAGAGAACCGCAAATGAGATAGATATTGAGGCAGCTGGAAATCAATTCATTCTTTGCCTTCATTTGCCATTATTCCCTACTATTTTTTTGGTGCAAATCACAAGAGTCTCTTGGCCTTCCTTCTCTGTCAGTCACATAGCATGCTGATCATGTGTTCTTGCCATTTCTTTTTTGTTTGCTTGATGATAGTGTGATTTATTTCTTCTTTTTCTTGAGCAAAACAACTCAGATAAAAATATATGAAGCATCCAGTGAAAGATAAATAATTTCCAACATCCAACATCTTCTAAATTAGGGATTGAACACAATGCCCAACAAGCCATTCTACCTGGCTTGTGCCAGAACCTGCATGTAGGACCAAACTTTTCAATCAAGATGGTGAGAGTGACTTGTCCCAATAGCTTGCAGATAAGGTTCATTCATTGGTGTTGCAGAATTGTAAGATCAACAGAGCCAAAGGGCAGTTTTCTGACTGAGGACAATATGGGGGCAGCTCAAGTCAGTCCTATATAAATGGCACCATGAAGACTTGTTTTCCATGCTTGGAGAGAGATCTGTTTCCAGAAGGGGGGGAGGTGGGGATAAAAATGGTGTCCAAGGTAGAAGAAACCAGATTCAGAAGGCAGGAATCCTTGAAGAGGAACAAGCAGGACAATGAGGTGAAGGGGAAGGACCCAAAGCAAGAGGTGGTGAGGCTGCAAAAGGTGTGCAAGTTCAAGAGGAGCAGCTTCAGTGAGGAAGAAGATGCTACTTCCTCTGCCATTCTCCTCTTAGCTTGTATTGCATGTGCTCCTCCTCCTCTATAGCTCTGCCTTCCTTTACCTTCGGACTTAGCTTCTACCATGTAATTCTGCTCTCTGTGTAGCTTTTCTCCCTCCTTGTGCAACTTCAACTTACTAATAGATCTGTCACTTCATGTAGAAGCTTCAGATCACCAGTGTTCATTGTCCTCTTGGGAACATGTACACAGTGGTGCTCTGATACCTGCAGCTCTTAGGAACATTGTTCCTCCTGGGACCATGAACACAGTGACAACCTACACCAAAAGATGGTCATACGACAGTGTCTAAGGAAATCTCAAAGTGAAATGTCTGTGTTGTCTCTTTATGCATGAAGTCTTCAAATATGTTTGAGCTGTCTGTAAAATCCAAGCACAAACAGGTACCACTTCCATCTCACTTTCAACACAGAATTAGATTCTCTCTCTACACCTCTTCCATCTCACTTTATTACCTACTCACTGCATATGGATGGAGATTACACTTCAGGTACCAAAATCCAAGTTCATCAATGGAGATTACACTTGATCACTTGGAGTTTCAAAGTATAAATAAATTATACTATGATCTCTTTCTAGTTCAAAGCCAGTTCACCAGGCTTTCCAAATTTATGTAGCATCACAGATCTTGGAAGATCATGTGAGGATGGAATTCTAAAGTTTGAAGTCATACAGTAGTATAATACATGAGAAAATGGATGCACAGCACCAAGTGATTCAAAAATTAAACCAGTCATTAAGGAATTTATTCATGAAATGAGATTAGATTGTTCACGACTAAAACATGAAATGCTCACTTACGGTATCAACGTAAATAAGTACCTCCAATATCAAAAATCACATGGGATAAGAAAGAAATTATGTATCAGAAATTGGGATAGTAGCCACTACTCATCCGAAAGAGGATCTGAAAAGTAATTGTTCAGAGATGGCATGATCTGGGGGGATTTGTTGCGCACAAACTTTCGGAGGCCATGCTCTGCATATTTCTCTCCCTCTTGAAAGTTATCAAGCACACCTGCAGCTCTGTTTTCCTTTGTGACCCTGTCAAAAGATTCAAATTAGAGTTAGTGCAACCTCTGAAGGATTTGTTTCACCTGGATAAGTAGATGTTGTGGTGACTTGCAGGTCAAGTTACTGACACAAAAAAAATATGGGAAGCAATAAAAGATTACACAACCGTAAGATCAAAGGAATAGCACAAAGCTAGCCTAACTTTCTTCACTGATATTGAAGAAAGTATCTTCGAAGAGAAATCTCATCAATTAAAAGTGAAGTAGGAAAACAGATGTATGTACTAAATAGAAATTTGATGTCACCATTTGCTTCGATAGGACATTACAAGGAGCAATATGGAGAACAAATAAACACATAACAGGGTCTGTTAAATAACTTATTTTTACTTCAAGCGATTAGTGCAAGTAATGCTATATGTTCAACTGTTGACTTTCATCTACACTTTATCAGCTATATTCTACTCCAACATTACATGCAAACAGATCAAGAATTGGTGTTTGACTAAAGACAAGATTCTAATCCAGACGGCGATTGAGAAGTTCAAATCATTTGCCAATTTTGAATATTAATTAGAACTCTTTTGCATCTCATAAAAACCCTGCATGATCTTTCTCGACTACAAATTAATTAGCTGAAAGTAACAGGTAATATGGTGATTCCTCTTGTCAGCAAAAAAAAAAAAAAAAATTCAAGCTGGCCATAAAATCTTTTTTTATTATTCATTGAAGACTTACGGCAGCACCAAACAAAAATAATGAGTTTGCACCAATATTGAGTAGGCTCCCAAATTTCTTTTTGTGCTTAAATATATCTAGCACAAGTAAGTTTCTTTCTCCACATTTTTCAGATGCATCAGGTTGTAGTAAGAACCAAATTATCGGCACAATTAACATAAAACTACCATAATTAAATTCTTCATGTCAAACCCTCAATTCACATAATTTGCTTCTATTGTTGAATACCATGCAAAGCAGCAAATTAAATATTTTGGAGCAACATATTGACAAAGGAAGACTTGCATACCTCACTTCAGGGTTGATGCAGATGTTCCGTATCAGCTGCATGCCACAGATGCCAACAGCTGTGCCGACAGCCGCAAAGAGAGGAAAAACCTGCACACATTGTTAAAGAATCAATCTATGAATATGAATGATAATGTATGAATACAAAGCAATTTGTAGCATTTAAACCCATATATAATTTATCTCAAAGGTCGTATATAAACCCTTTTAATGATACCAATTTTCGGAATTATTATTATCAACAGTTAATAGTCTTCAAATACCAAAAGAAACATAATATATTAACAAGAAGAACAAAGTCATATAACAATAACAATAACAAAGCCGCAAGTCCTAATTATTTGGGGATCTTTTATCGTCGTTGAAATCTTTTTGTCCCAACTATTCAAATCACATCCAAACTATAAATAAATCGTCAGTGTGAATTCCTTCAACCACAATGAAAAAGAGATCTGTGGATAGTAATGTTACTTTAACAGGAAACCTATTGCACAATCGCAACTATGGCATAAAAGATTCAAAGATTAACAACGAACACAGATTTAAAAACATGAAAAGTAGAAAAGAAGAATAGAAGTTAGAGAATACGATGAAATCTAACATTAGTGAAGTATTGAAAGAGGATACAGAAATGAAGATTCGACAAAGAAATCTAACTTTATCAGAACCATCTCATACGAGAAGTATGGAAAGAGGAGGATAGAGTAGCATTACCTCAGGCCTCACCCATCTGGAGGAAACCATCGGAGAGCTGCCGGAAAGGAGAGAGGTCGGCGAAGGGCAGAGGAAAGGCAAAGAAGCTTTCTCTCCAATATTTCGGAGGGTGGGACAGAGGAAGAGACGGGCAAGAAACGATGTTCCGTAAAGTCCTCTCTTTCTCAATATATAGTAGCGGTCAACCGACATTGACACGTGGTCAAGAAAAGCGGCGTGTAATCACGCGATTAGATTTTGGTCAACTCTAGCAGACGTGATCAATCTTGCGATCTCCCGAATCTTGTGGATTCCAAGTTTCTAGGAGCGGCGGGAAAAAACGCGGCTTTGGACTTGATAATGCATGTTAGGTGGCTGTGCCGATCTCGTGATTCATCCAAGAAATTTTTTTATCCCAAATTTCAGAAAAAAAATAATAATAAAGTCATAGGTTTTTAGATGATTAGATGAACATTTCAAGAAAGAGAAGAAAAAGAATCCCAATCATACCAGAATTCTTGAAAGAGAAAAGAAGTCCTTTTTTTAATTTGTATTTCCTTTCCTACTCAGACACGGAAATCGAAGCGAATGGCATCTTTTAGAACATTGCCAAGTCTTTGTGGAATTTGTTAATGTCACCTATCAAAGCAGAGATTTGTAAGAATATTTGTTGGTTTTCTAACAATCTGGAAAAGAAGAAGAAGAAGAAGAACATAAATTTACTTAGAAGTCAAAGCATCTGCAATGATGAATTAAAACGTAGTTTAGGTGCGTTTAAGAATGCATTCATCGATCACCAGAGGGTAGAAAAAGAAAAGAATGTCCACCAATATTACATTTTTGATCAAACAGGTCTATATGGATACAATGCACAGTAGAATGGTCATACACAATGATCGAACTTGTATACATCACAGCATGAATGGAATTTTATCCATGTCTTGTGGAAATACCACGCACACATCAATCATTATACTAACTGTGGGTTAAATGCCCATATATGATTAGCCAATGATGCTTCTCTCCATTCCTATAATGATCAGAAAGCACAGCTTGATGATGTCAGTTGTCGTCGATCAATTTGTTTATGATTTCTGATTGCCATGCACCACCAGCAAATCTGTTGATTAATTGAGCCACGATAGCTACCACAGACCCCAGGGCAGCACCAGCGATGACCTAAGAAAATGCAAGAGAAAGATTAGGAGACAGGATGCTGAACATAATAACCCAAGGTATCTTTCATGCACAAGCATGGTTGAGAGTTTAGCTAGGATTACTATATCTAATGGTTAAGCTACTACCAGGACTTTGCCGTTAAGCTGGCCCAATTATCCCAACTCCGAGGAAAGAAATCAGTCTAACCATCCAATTTTTGGTTTAAATTGAGGTGCTAATGATGAAGTTCGTTGTCCTGACACTATCGATATGAAGAATCTATAGGTACTTATACAAACAGTAGGGCATTAATGATCCTTTGTTAAGAATAGGAAACAATTCATCCCCACATATGTTTAAAGTAGAACACCATATGAACTACTTTTCATGATCGTAGGTGGGAATTATGGTGGCCAGAAAATTCTCAGATACGAAATGGCGGCTTACATGTTTTTTTTTTTTTTTGGATTTATAGAGATGTGCACATATGCATATGCAAGAGAACAAGATGTACCAGGTTGCATCATGGTAGTTACCACTACCCTTTACAAGATTACAGCATCGTATCAAACCTGAATAGGAGTATGGCCAAGAAGTTCATGTAGTGGTCGAGTAACAGACAGAGGATGCTCTTCTGGAAGTTCATACATAATTTGATTTAACACCTGGCATATCAGAAGAAATAAATGCTGTTAATGAAATGAAGTGTTTGAATTATAAAACAACCTATCATACCATAGAACCCATCAGCCTATTTCAGGTATCGTCTCATAAATGCATCACTTATAAGATGGCAAGTTAGGAATGGGTGATGGTCTAAAAGGAAGCTGGTTGTAATAAAAGTTTCACAAAACATAGCTCAATAAGATACAAGGACCATCGTTGAGTTCTCAAGTTTCAGGAACAATACATCAAGTCTGATAACTAATCAGTCATTCCTCTTGTGACATGATTGAATAAAGATCAGTAAAACCAAAATTACCTAGTTAGTGGGCTGAATCCAAAAAAAGTCAGCAGTCAATTGACATAAGTAGCTTGACCCAAGCATAGAAAACTAATGTGCACACCTGCCTCAGTCCATGCAGAAAATTCTTTTCATGGGATTTGACATGTATGACACTTTTTTATCAACACAATTAATGAATGTAGCTTGGAAGACTATGACTACGGACACTCTTCTGGAAGTTCATATATGACTTGATGGTAAGATGAATATTTGACCAGATATGAACATTTATGTATCAGATAATGACTATGAGACCATGAATTTTCAATTACTAATTTTTGTCATGGATTTAAGTAGTACCCATTGATCCACATGCTACTAAGTAGCAACTTGCGATGACTGTCAAAGTAATTACCAGCTAGGTTATCCAGCACCTTCAAACACATGTTACTTACATGTATGTTCAAAGATTTAACGTCTTTTAATAAATATTTTCTTCATCCATTTATTCAATCATCTACTTAAGAATTCAACTTAAAGTATCCAGCCTGCTGCTTCTCTATT